TGTAAATGGTATTACAAAAATGTAATGTAATAAGTGTTTTTTCTGTTTTTGGTATTCCTATGACATTATCCTCACTTCATCTCCCATTGGTTAAAATTCATGAATGATCCTGGATTGAACACAGTTGAGAACTGAAGATACTACAAAGATTGTATTTAATATTCCACAATTTGGTTGTATATGTATGATGACAATACAGAGTCTAGTCTAACTTTTTTTTTTTTTTTTTTAACAGTAAGAAATTATAAAAATAAAATCTTACCAAATCATCAGAAATTGTGCACATTTCCATTTACCCAGTTTCTTCCTTCAATTTTATTTGAATTTTTTATGATAATATGCTCAGAATAAAACTTCTTTAACATATTAGAGGGTAAATAAAGTCTGCTTTTTTTTTCTTTTTTTTAATAAAATGTTGACACCTGGCAATGCCATATGGTACTGCAAAAACAACTGAACAGTGACCTTTGTGTGGTCATAGGCATGAGTCATCACAACAACCTTTGCAATACTCAGTTAGATAATTCACACTATAAAGCCACATTATTGTCACACTTCTAGGTCTCATCATTGATCGTCCTCTGGGCTTCATTTTATAATGACACTGATTTATTTCTCTTCAGATTACTTGTGGATATTCAAGTCTCTTTCAACTAAATACCACTAGGCATCAGAACCCATTAAGGTATTCCTGAAATCATCTATAGGTGTGAATGCTCAGCAGCCACAGTCAATTATTCTGTGTGGCTTTGTTCTTTGTGTTAGGAGGCAGGCTGTGCTTTGCAATCAGTCAATATACAAAAAAGTATAACTGACTGAGTCACTCAAAAAAAAAGAAAGAAATAACCTACAATAAGCTTGTATTCGATTTCACAGTTCTTCCATAGCTGGAGTGAAGAAGTTCAAACCCTCAAATTAGAAGGAGCACAAGGAAAGAGTGGATTTTGAAACTTTACAACACTGCATGAGACAGATTTAATTTGTCAGTTTCTCAGAATCACAAAACAAAAACGTGCTTGTTTATTTGTCATCTAGAGGCAGAATTACAGTGGTGGACCAGCTGCAATAATAATGATTTGGAGTACTGAGTGACCTGAATGTTTTAAAGCTTCAACCAAACCGGGACTCAAATATGTAAATTTATCTATTCTTTTCACAATACATGCATTACCACACAAATTCAAAACAGCTGATGAATTAAGAAACAATAATTCGGCATTATTCATTGGACATCTACATTATTTAGGATTCTCTGATGCTACCAACCCCCCCCAAAAAAAACACACAAAAAAACAACACAAAAAGTCACGTCAGGAATAACTTCAAAATTTTCAAAGATGCCCCAAACCAGAGTGCCACAGTTTGACAAATTACCAAAAAGACCTGTAAGTAACGCATCTTACACCTATGCATCCCAACAAGGCAGCCACAGTTTAACTATTAAAATATTGACAGTTATAATCTTTTTTTTTTTTCTCTTCCTAGTGCCTTTTTTCCCCTCAACTTTCATCATCCTTCTTTCCCACCTCCTTTTGCAGCCTTCTGTTACAAAGCAATAACCCTCACTCTCACTAACCTGTCACAGTGCTTGTACTAATTCGACTTGCTTTTAAGTATCTTAAGTCAATGTCTGGTCCCATTTTTTAAAATAATGCATTAGAATAAAAAAAGAAAAAAAGGAAAAAAAAAAAGAAAATCTCCTACCCAAAACTCCCTTCTTAGTATTTACAATAATGATGACTTCCACGTACAGCTCCAGCAACCGCTTCCCTTTCCTTTTTGGTTGACCAAAGAAAGTGAAAATCTATAGCAACACATTAAACTTAAATAAACAATGTTATCTTCAAAAGACGCAAGAAAATGATTTTCAGGGGAGGATTTAATCGAGTATATAACTTTAGAGCTACATCTTTCATCTGCATGTTCATTAAACATGATGTTCGGTTCCAATAATAGTCTTTTGAATTCTAACTTTTGAGCACAAGAACTGATCTGAAGCTGACACACACACCTACACGCACATTACAAAATTGCAATTTATGTAAACTGGGAACAACAGTACTCTAATTTCACATTTAATTTAATCTATTTTAAGATTCTTACACTTTTAACATCTAAAAATAACATCACAAGAAGTTAAATTAGCTTGAAATGAGCAGAAGTTCACAATCCACTTAAAACTTTCCTGAACCCAAAGAGAAAAGTTCTGTTGCGTCAATACAACACAAAGCTGAGCACAGCAAGCACAGAGATAATATAAATCATCAGGTATCCTCTAAGTCAAACAGGAATAGTTGCATTAATTATGATATTAAAAGGAGAGAAGAGGCTGTTCCTGAAACGCCGCTCTGCAACAAGGCTATAATTACACAACATATAAACCTGGTACTAATTAGCACCTCAGAAAATATAACTGCACTGACAAAAACATCTCATCAATTGTTTATCTTCCTCATGTCAGCAGTGAGGCACCAAAACAAAACAGCGCCAATTAATATAACAGGCCATCAGTAACTCTGCGGGCTAGCCTGCTGCCATGGAGCACGGAGATTGTTAATCAGCCTGAAAGAAAGTGACAGGGTTTGATAAAATGTGAGCGGTTACCTGTCTCCTTAACAACCGACAAGAGCAGTTCACCTCTGAAAGTCGAGTAAAAATCCTCCTTCATGCCAGTTTCTTCTTCTTCTTTTTTCTCCATAAATTATTTAATATCTAAGGAGCTGGAAAAGTGAACCTGAAATTATGCATCACACGGTGGCTTTGCAGCAGGCTTCGTGATTAATATCGTGTTCTCACCTCCATCGAGGCCTTGCTGATAACATTGCACTTGTCCCCCCGATTTATTATGTAAGGGTTCAAAGCTGTACATTAATTCCAGAGTTCAAACTGATTAAGCTGTCTGTGTGAGAATACCGGTTCACACCAGAAAGTAGATTATTCTGCTGCTAACCTCACTAACACTAGCCGGGCCACAGAACCCCCTCATCATCAGCATCTGTTCAGAGACGGCTGCAGGCAGCAGCTCCGAACACATTAACAATATAAATTCTTTTTATGCAGACAGGGAAGCTTTAGGCTTTGCTTTGAAAACTAACCCACGGTGTCGATTTTAGAAGGAAAATACACAAACAGCCATGACAAACATCTGGCATTAGCTGCTTAAGCTAAACATTTGCCCTGGCATTATTACAATGATACAAAAAAGCTCAGCTGATGTTACGAGCTCGCACATAGAGCTTGGTTAGGACTTGCATTTAATATAACCAAGTGTAATATTAGTTTGGGCCACCACCAAATTAGCTGAACCACACCAACTCCTCTAAGTTGCTGCGCCACTGCAAGCCTCTTTGAAACCCAGCTGTCCCTTTCCTGCTGTTTCTGCCTTATTCAGTATCATAGCTGTTCTAAGTGGTCTGTGTTGGGTTTTTGCTACAGCTGCCTGCGTAAAGTAAGTTGAAACGAGGATAGGAAGTAGAGCAGGGCGATATGACCAAAAATATTTATCACGATTTACATTTGAAAATTTGTGATAACGATATAACTGACGATATAATTGACACTAGACAAAATACTTTACAACTCCACAACTTTATTAGGGGAAAAAAAACATCAATGCATTTTCACTTAAACAAGCAGCTGTTTTTTATCTGCATTAAAGTTCTATAAAAATTTAACAGTGCAAATGCAAATTCCTTGCTGACAGTTTAACTAAAAGGCATTTCCAGTGGAAACTGGCCGACACATCCTCAGCATAACCATGTATAATATGCACAAAACTTAAAAAGAGGTTATACACACACAATACAGTAACATTATGTTGAAGCACAGTACGTATCACTCCGCGAGGCGCCTGCCTACGATAGCTGTAATGCTCCGACAATCCATCAAGCGGTGCGGCTTCGTAGCAAAGTCGTACTGAAACATTTGACAGATTTTCGAGCGCCGTGTACATAAAATCGTTTCGAGGTCAGTAAACACAACCAGAATTCATACATAAGGCACACGGGATTATAAGGGGCACTGTCGACTTTCAGAAAAATTAAAGGATTGATTTTAAGTGTGCCGTATTTTCCAAAAAACAGTAATAACGACGGCCCGCTAGCATGCTCTACCAAAGATAGTGTTTTGTTGTGTATCTGACGGACGAAAGCCAAACCAGTTCCACACCACTGAAGTTGCAGCATTTTTACAAACCAATCCGCTTTCGCTCTTCTCATTCTCCGTCGCCGCTATGTGCGTATGAAAACATAGGCACTGCGCATGTGCGTTTTACCCATATTCTAGCGCGATATTTCATTTTCTTATCGTTGCCCAACATTATACCGGTATTACCATGAACGGTATGATATGGCCCAGCTTAATAGGAAGGACCTAGAAAACAGCCTTGACCCCAAGTATTACTACTGCAGATAGAAATAATATTCTTGGAATTATACTGAATGGGTTACAAATAAGATTTCTGCAGTATGCATTATGTTTCTTATTTTATTGTACTTTTACTGACCATACTGGCAAGAACAACCAACCAAATGCTCAGAAGTGAATTTAGGCAAGGCTCTCAGCAACAAGACTCTAGTCTTGTTAAGAAATGGCCGACAGGCCCAGTGAGATACATTTCTGAAATCCTGACTCACCACTATGAGAGAGAGTGTCTCCATTTCTCTCCCGGTCTGTTTATAATATACATACGCATGAGTGTCTTGGGATCACTTTCAGGCCTCCGCAGAAGCTGGCCGCCACGTTTACTTCTGAGCAGCTCGGTATTTGTGCAACAGTCAACATTACTAGCAAACAAATGATTCAGTGGTTTGTGTTTGTGCATGGAAAGGAGCAGGGGAGGACAGAACAGCAGAAATAGTTCACCTAAAGTTCAGTTATCTGTAGCAAGCCACACAGACTGTGCGTATGTACACGAACGCAGGTGTTTTCTCCTCAGTAGTGATGAGCGTGTGTGCGCTGTGTACCTTTGTCGCTGAAGTCGTCGACCAGGATGATCTCGGCTATGAGCTGTGGGGAGAGCGATTCAGCACGCTGTGAACCGTCCTGAGCAGCGACGACCAGCCCTCGTTGTGGAACGGGATGATGATTGTGGTGTTGGGCAGCTTCTCTGCATACAGCTTGTGTTTACAGCTACACAAACACATGGAAGACACAAATAAGAGGGGAAATAGACAAAAGGGAAATATGTAATAATATATTTTTAGCCAGTGTGAAGTATCTCATTAACTACTGGACAAAGTTTGATGACTTCGATGCCCAATTACTGTTAGTAATACTAACAACCACGAACAATCTCGACACACACTTCTTTCTAGGAAAAATCAATCCAAAGCTCAGTGGTATTCTGAAATCGGTTGTTGCTACTGCGGTTCCCGCCTTCTGCTTTCTGTGTAGTACATGCAAAGGGTGGGGGGCGGGGGAGTACGACAAACCAATCCAATGCTCAGTAGTACTCTGAAATCTCATCTAGAAAATGACAGACAATAGTGAAAAATAGCTATAATTCAAGGCGTGATAACAAAGGCCTCCAACTCCATAAAGGATTATAGGCCTTTTCGTTTGGCCCCAACAGAAATGTAATTTTGGATTGCTCCCTGGAATTGGTCACTATTGGTCTGTTCTGATCAAAGTTGTCCCTATTACAGTATTCACATGGGTAATACATCTACAGGAGATAAATCTTGGAACAAGTGGTTGATGAGCAACGACTGTGTTGGTGTGACCAGTAATGGCCTGCATTTTCCATCCACTTTGTGCCAAAACACTATGGTAGATACACACCATAGTTCAGTTTGTTAAAGCAGAACACTGCATTGACAGTCTGAACATCAAGTTTCACAGCAAAACCCTGTGAACGCTGGAAAAACAAACACGTTACTGGTCACCTGACCGTTGCTTTCAAGCTTGGATGCTGCGAGCTGAAAACTGTTGTTTGGTCTCTGGATTGGAGTTTGAGATCCAGCTCTCATCACCAGTGAAGGTCCTTGACTTGAAAAGGCCAGCTTAAAACAGATTAACAGTTTAAATACTTTCTGTGTACAAGTGCAAGTTTGAAGCACACAATGACATGACCTATGAGCACTGATTGGCCAAATTTAAATCAGGGACAGTTTTTGATTTTTGTGAAGACGACATTTTCAGATGTCTTATTCTGTTGAGCTACAGTCTAACATTCAAGGACATTCAATGAGCTGTTGTGTTACAAGAAGAGGAAGAAATCTTTATTTTTAGAAGTTAGGAGGAAGATTTGCACATTTTTCCTAATAATCTTTTAATATTTTTAATGACCAAAAAAGTTGCAAAAATAGCTTTATTCCTTTTCAACCTGCTCGATGAAGTGTAACCTAAATAAATTGCAGATGGACTGGAGATATACAGTGGGGCAAAAAAGTATTTAGTCAGCCACCGATTGTGCAAGTTCCCCCACTTAAAATGATGACAGAGGTCAGTAATTTGCACCAGAGGTACACGTCAACTGTGAGAGACAGAATGTGAAAAAACAATCCATGAATTCACATGGTAGGATTTGTAAAGAATTTATTCGTAAATTAGGGTGGAAAATAAGTATTTGGTCACCTCAAACAAGGAAAATCTCTGGCTCTCACAGACCTGTAACGTCTTCTGTAAGAAGCTTTTCTGTCCCCCACTCGTTACCTGTATGAATGGCACCTGTTTGAACTCATCATCTGTATAAAAGACACCTGTCCACAGCCTCAAACAGTCAGACTCCAAACTCCGCCATGGCCAAGACCAAAGAGCTTTCGAAGGACACCAGGAAAAGTATTGTAGACCTGCACCAGACTGGGAAGAGTGAATCTACAATAGGCAAGCAGCTTGGTGTGAAAAAATCAACTGTGGGAGCAATCATCAGAAAATGGAAGACATACAAGACCACTGATAATCTCCCTCGATCTGGGGCTCCACGCAAGATCTCATCCCGTGGGGTCAAAATGATCATGAGAACGGTGAGCAAAGATCCCAGAACCACACGGGGGGACCTGGTGAATGACCTGCAGAGAGCTGGGACCAAAGTAACAAAGGTCACCATCAGTAACACACTACAACGGCAGGGAATCAAATCCCGCAGTGCCAGACGTGTTCCGCTGCTGAAGCCAGTGCATGTCCAGGCCCGTCTGAAGTTTGCCAGAGAGCACATGGATGATACAGCAGAGGATTGGGAGAATGTCATGTGGTCAGATGAAACCAAAGTAGAACTTTTTGGTATAAACTCAACTCGTCGTGTTTGGAGGAAGAAGAATACTGAGTTGCATCCCAAGAACACCATACCTACTGTGAAGCATGGGGGTGGAAACATCATGCTATGGGGCTGTTTTTCTGCCAAGGGGACAGGACGACTGATCCGTGTTAAGGACAGAATGAATGGGGCCATGTATCGTGAGATTTTGAGCCAAAACCTCCTTCCATCAGTGAGAACTTTGAAGATGAAACGAGGCTGGGTCTTCCAACATGACAATGATCCAAAACACACCGCCCGGGCAACAAAGGAGTGGCTCCGTAAGAAGCATTTGAAAGTCCTGGAGTGGCCTAGCCAGTCTCCAGACCTCAACCCCATAGAAAATCTGTGGCGGGAGTTGAAAGTCCGTGTTGCTCGGCGACAGCCCCAAAACATCACTGCTCTCGAGAAGATCTGCATGGAGGAATGGGCCAAAATACCAGCTACTGTGTGTGCAAACCTGGTAAAGACCTATAGTAAACGTTTGACCTCTGTTATTGCCAACAAAGGTTATGTTACAAAGTATTGAGTTGTATTTTTGTTATTGACCAAATACTTATTTTCCACCCTAATTTACGAATAAATTCTTTACAAATCCTACCATGTGGATTCATGGATTTTTTTTTCCACATTCTGTCTCTCACAGTTGAAGTGTACCTCTGGTGCAAATTACTGACCTCTGTCATCATTTTAGGTGGGGGAACTTACACAATCGGTGGCTGACTAAATACTTTTTTGCCCCACTGTATAATGTAGCATACTAGCGTACTATAGTATTGTGTTAGCAACAGGCATGCCCACACTCATTAGTTCAGTGGCAAGCATTGTAAAATGTTTTATTCTTTTACCTTTAACTCTGCAAGTTCATCGGATTTTCTATACAACCTTTTCTTTGGGTACATTGTACATGTAAGCCCTTCTCTTTGTAACAAAGGTTCATAGAGCCTCATCATCATGTCTGTTTGGCCTTTACCAAAATGCAGTTACCACATAGTTAGAATAATCCTCCATGTGTTTCTGTGCTGGGGTTATTATTTAAAATGCTAATGGAGAGCGTGGTAGAAATTCTTCTGGAACCTGTGGAGCTGCCCTTTACCTTGCTGTACTGCTGTGCGCCCTCTACCAGCCCAACCTGAACAATGAGCTGCTCTTTTAATAAGATCTAATGAAGCATACCACCTGCTGGCTTGCCCCTCTAGACATTTGTCTCTTCTTTCTCTCGCTCTCTGAAAGATCAAGAGGAGAATCTATCGCGGCAGTAATTAAGTCTCTCAAGGCCCGTGTGGCTGCCTGAAACCCATCCTCTGTGTCTCTCCATCATGTCATTCAGGTAGTGAGCGAGAGCGAAATGGATATACGAATCCTGTAGAGGTGCCCGGGCCTGATGTGAATAGATTTGGCACACAGCTGTCGGACACCCGTCACTCTGTTACTTTGACCAGTAAAACAGATACACCTGCTGGCCTCCCCCATCCCCGTTACCCCTGTGTGAAGTATCTGGGTAGGTTTTAATAATCGATTAAAATCGATTCTGGCTTGGATAACATGATATCGATTCATGAAAATCCTGAATCGATTTTTTTATATAAATGTATTTTGCCCAAAATTCCAGAATCTCAGGTGAAACGTCACAAAATTTTGACAACCACCAAACAGCTAAGACAGTAAATGAGAGCAGGTACACGGCTTCTGCACAAAGATGTAAACAAAATGCTCACACCTTTGATAAAGTCTGGAAAGTGTCAGCTTCCTTTTTATAGATACAAAAATATGTAAATGTACTGATCTGAATTATAATATTTCTGACTGTGTGAGGAAAAATTTCCCAGATTCAAATCAAATCGATTCAGGACCTTGTGAATCGGAATAGAATCGATTCTAGAAATCAGTGACGATACCCAGCCCTACATCTGGGTCCTCATGCTAGTTTCCCACAAGCCCAAGTGGCCTAGACAATAAAAATGTTCAGTCTTCAACAGAACTCTGTTGAGTCAGATTTTAACCATCGCCCGTTGGTGGTTCTGGCTGAGCAAAGATCCAGTTATGAACTCAAAGCTGTCATATATAATGAAAAACCTCTTCTAAAATAATGGTTGTGAAAGACATGTCCAAAATGTTGAACCAGAAAAAAGGCAAGAACAAGAACTCCAAGTTTTTCTATTAAGTTATCATTGTGCCAGCACCTGTACCTTTACTGAATAAAGACTTTCCCTGTCCAATATAAACTTGATAAAGTGTGCCACCGTGATGCCGTACTGGTGGAAACTGGCTCTGTGATGGAAAATGCTTCATAAAGGTCACAGGATGTGGAAACTTTATAAATCTGAAGAAAAGGGGGGGGGGGAAATCAGAAAGAACATAAATGCTGTCCTGGAGGGACCTTGCGAGGGAAAGCATTTAAAACTGCTTCCCACAAGAAAGTGACAGCAGGGTCAGAGAACAGCCCTGTCAGGTAGAGGGAAAGAGCTCAAGGCTGATCTGTGACGAATCGGGTCACCAGATCCAAAGCTGTTAAGCAGATGATATTTATAATGTTGCCGTTGAGTTTATTTTCAGTATTTTGTTCTTAAATGAGTCAGAGGAGAAGCTGGAAAGAACCCAGCACTCTGTACTGCAAACACGGGCCCATATGGCTCACCGTGCTTCTACAGCATCTGTCTTTGAATACTTTGAATACTAGAAAATGCTCAGCTTAATGTGCACCTCGTCATCGCATCAAGTCCACGACACCGGGGCAGTAAACAAAGAAGCAAACATCTTGTCTCATCTTATTCATGAAGAGTAAAGCCAAGTAGTAGTTAAGTTAAGTGCTAGCGGTTGCACTTGTTGTTTGTTCATGTTATTCTTCAACTGGTCTTTTCTAGTTTTAGGCATAAATTCTAGAACAAAAGCGTGCTGGGTCCGACTCCCAATTCTGGTCCCCAGCATGGTTTGTTTTTTTCTGCTAATCAGTGCTGCAAAACAGCTTAATATTCTACAATGTCATTGTCCAAACTGAAGCACAGACTTTTTGGATGGACTGTACCACACAGCAGTTTTTATTTGTCAGATATTAAATGCGTTACATAAGGCAACAGCATTAAAAAAAAAAAAAACAAAACAAGGCCCAGTCAGTGAGCTGAAGTGAGGCCTAGTGGACTGCTAGCAGCCTACTTCACACGAATATGTCACTCAAAACAGGTAAAATCTTTAATAATGAACAGGCCTCGATAAAATTTAAAAAGATGCGTTATAAAAATCATAACTCCTATAAAGATGTTATGAAGATGTTGAACTAGCAACCGAGATATAACCGCCTTTTGTACCAGGCTAGTAAGGCATTCATTTCTGCTACAAAGCTGCGGCATTTTCCATGGATGTTTACGGGAATAGACCTGCTTTTGAAGAGAGCCTCAAGTGGCCATTTCAGGAATTGCAGAATTTGGCTTTATTAGAAGTTTGAGCAAGGCTTTGCCTTTGGGATCATCTTCCATCTCGGAGTAATCAAACAAAGATGACAGAATTGATTAAAATGACCTCCAATCAATGAAGTTAACACATTACACTTCTTGCTCATAAAATCTGCCTTCTGAATGCTTCTACAAATGAACCCCTCCTTTAACTAGAAACATGAGAACTGATGGGTGGCGTTTGCTATGCACATTCATGTTCCCACAGAACAAAATTGTTTTCACACCATTTTTATTCCACGAGCTTTCTGCAGACTCCAACAGTAAAGCCAGACATTTATTTAAACTCCAAAGGAGATAATCCCATTGGACTCTAATGGCCTCTTGGCCACAGATTAGCAAAATCATCAATATGTTATTCATTCCATCCAGTTCAATAACCATGGCAGGAAATGGGGGTCATAAAGGGTTTTTGAGTTTGTCTCGTTTATTAAGCTTCCCTGTTGCTTCACTGTGACCAATCAAAAAGAGCCAGACTTTCCACTTTCTCCATCCTCTGCACTCATTCTCCTCCCAAGAAAATCCTGGTTGAAAAATATTCGCAGCCCCACAGCAGCCAGACGGAAAGCTGCTCCCGTACAACGTGGCACACATGTTCTGTCACTTCCTAACACCTTGCACACAGGGGGACATCAATGACACTGTTAATTACTATCAAGAACATGGTTTACAAGTACATGGGCGACACATGGTGCATTATCAACTTCTGTGTGTAAAGCCAACTCTCTCCTGTTAATAGGCTGGTCAGGTTGATAATCGGAGCAATTGTTCGAAACAGTGCTCGTCGTAATGAGTTGGACCAAAGCCAGCCTGGATAATAAAGGTGCAAACATTACCAAGTAGGTTTTGGTTAGGGCAGAATTGTCCTGGTGTCTAATAATGGCTTTCTGCTTTACATTGAAATCGGTATTTGCTTCACTTTGGACATTTTGCATTTTTTCCTCTAGAAATCACTAAACTCTTTCAAGCCTCCATAGCAGATTTTGACCACACGCTAAACCCAAATGCACCTACTCTTTAAGTTCAATAAGTAGTGTTAATGTATTCAGAAATTAAATTAATTTAAGCTTCTTGAGTTTCTGTGACAATTTTCTCAGTTTTGACTACTTTTATCATGTCTGCACGTGTCAGGAGAGTTGGATGATGCCTGTATGGAACCTGTGGATTGCTGGGTTGATGAATACGTCCATTTCAGCACAGATACAGTTAAGCTCTGGTCATTGTAAAATGAAAATAACGTGAACATAATGCAGTTGTTGGTGATTGTCAAACATCAAACTTGTGGATCTAAGTGAACATTTGTCACTTAATCAAAAGATTTCAATCTGTTAAAAATTGTTATGTTTAAAAATAAATTCGACTAAAGAGACTTTTTAAACAGTGCATTAAAAGAAGGATATTTAACCATTTGGATTTTGAAGTTGCTAAATAGCATAATATTTATATATACACTATACACTACTATACAATGTAGTGTAAAGTGCTTTGGGTTCCTTAGGGACTGAGTAAAGCGCTATACAAATACAGGCCATTTACCATATACTGCAGAAAAAGTACCCATTCCAAACTCATTAAACTTTCACTCTGGTTAAACAGCTTTACAACATTTTTCCTCTTTTATTGCTGTGGAATTTCATCAGGTCTGAACTTTAGAGTCGATTCTTCTTTGTTCAAGTAACACAACCAGTCAGATGACGTTACGGACGGACATATCAAGGCTCTTTTTGGACATTCAAACTAAACCAAATGTAGTGTTTAAGCCTAAAGTTGTCTTCAGACACAGTTAATCATTGGTAGGAATTTGACCTCCTTATCTGACCCAAACAGCGAATGTACCAACTATATGCTAGCTCTAAGCCAGAGGTGTCACACTTATTTTAGTTCATGGGCCACATACAGCCCGAATCGATCCCTGAGGTAGTAAAACCAAACATCAAAAGGAAGGAAGAAAAGAACAGAATAAAATGCCCTCTCTAAAGAACTACAAGTGCATCCTACAAATATGAAGAACAGCCTGATGTCTCAGTAAAATAAATGTAATTGCATCATAATGTCTCCACATTAATTACATTTACTTTCCTTACAACTGCATACCAGTTTAGTGGTTATTTGTATCCCTCTAATGTCAATCAGCAGTATCCTTCACTCTCATCAGTAGTTGCTTGAATCACTCTGCCGAAGCTTAAAGTAGGTCCAAAGTTAAGTTAAGTTGTTTTTTGTTTCTTTTGGTTCTATGGCCTGTGGTCACCACATTGCTGCCAGCTTCCTGTGAGGATGTGTGGACTTTCCATACATTTTCACTCCTGTATAGTCTTACTGTCTGAACATAGCCATGCTGGTAACAGCAATGCATTTCATTTTAAAATATATTTCACTGCAAGTTTCACTGTTTTTTCTTTCAAGCTAAAAGCCAGCCTGCTGGCTACTCCCAAGGCCTCATGTTTGACATCCGTACTCTCAGCTAAACAGCAATGAACACATTGATTGTGTTTGTGCGAGTATGCCTGTGTTCTGTTCTGTAAAGCACTGTAATACACAGTTTTATGCTTAAACCTAAACATTATGAACGCCTTTCCCGTCCTTTTCAAGGCAAAAAAAAAAAAAAAAAAGAAACATTTCCACTGACCTTCACTATTAATTAGTGTAAATCAGCATCTTGTTGAGCAGAAAGCTTATCTGAATCACTGATTTCAAATATTAGCCTTGCACAACATGTATCTTACACAAAGAGCTGAGAACCAGCAGGTTTTCAATCCAGCTAAAGGACTGCAGCAGGTGATTCATTTTTTTCCTCTCCGGTTGATGGAATGCCAATCTGTAAAATAACCTGCTGCAGTCTTTGGCTGGAATGAAAACCTGCAGACCCTTGGTCCTGTGTGGCCCATTTTTGCCTCTATGATGAAAATGCTCACACCAACAGAGATGTATTTTTTGTAGAAAATGGCAGTTTTGCCTGAGGCTACTGGCCACTTCGCTAGAAATTTTAAGAAGTGTTTTCTCTTTTTCTTTTCATCTGGTGCCCACCTCACACTCAATAGAAATGACTGATATGGCAGATTGAGATGTGATAAAAATCCCCAACATAAGCCTGTTGGAACAGCACTGAACAACACTCAGTTATTCACTGACTCATGAAGTCTACCTCTGTAAAAACTCTACTGCTAATCAAATGGCAGCTTGTGTAGTAAAACTTTGAGTGTTTTACTACGCAGGCCAGTAATGTGCAGTCTCATATACAGAGTGACGCTAGAGACTCTGCAGATTTATCTTTAAACATATGAATAAGACTATAAAGTGACAAGTTTTTTGGTGTTCTACCGAAAACACACATAACTCACTTTGGATGGCGGATGTCAGGAACAGAGCGGTTCAGGGAGATGCGGTCGCTGACGTAAATGTTGAAGCCGTTTTCTCTGTAGGCTTGATCGACCCGGTCAGCATCAGTCAGGGGGAACGGCTTCCCCTGTTCACCGTTACCTACAAATGAACAACATTTCATCACAAAAACTTCAATCTATACAGACCAAAAGGGAGCAAGCAAATCTCACACGTCATTCTCTTCACAGAAATTCAACAAGAGGGGAGAAATTAAACAGTAAGTGAATTTGGGCTTTTAGTGACTGCATCACTACAGGAAGAGAGGCGTGCACGAGATAAAGAAAAGAACTTAACGAACTAGAATTACAGAATTATAACTGGAATTAAAATTATATTCACTGTAATACCAATTTACTCAAATGAATGCTGTGTTTTATTTAAGAACACTTCAAATTAGCAATTGAGTCCATGACCTCATCAGGAAATGTTTTCTCTCTCTCACACACACACACACACACACACACACACACACACACCCCCCCCCCCCCCCCCCTTTTGGACCCACAGGAGTCGCCCCCTTCTCATGCTTAGAAAGCTCCACCTTTTAGACCTAGAAGCTGCATCCATCCTAGAACACTCTCCACACCCACTTGTTAACTATAGCTGAAGTCAAAACTAATCTAAAATATATTAGTTTGTCTCTGGATATATAAATCGGAGATTAATGTTTGAGAACAAAACGACTAAAGAAAAAGCCACACAGGATAATATTACATCACCATATTTTGGGGATTCATTAAAAGAAGAAGTATGGTCCTGTGGAGAACAAAAAACAACTCTAATCATCTACAGACATGCATGTTTCATTAAGCAGAAATTACCCACGTTTCCCTCCAAAAGGAAAGAAGAGTGGAAAATAACTTTTAGCCTTTAACGGCTCATTTCAGGAGATAAACCCATTTGGACTAATTTACACTCAGTGTGTAAAAGCTGTTTTCCCTGAACAGAAAATTAAACCCAATCAGTGATGATTGTAGAAGATATAAACAGTATTTATGGCACCAGTAATGTATCCAAAGCACAGATTTACACCCTTGCTGGATACCAGGAGAGCAACGCTCTGGATGTGTGTGTGTGTGTGTGTGTGTGTGTGCAAATCCAAAAGCATCTTTCTTCATTAAGTTTCATTTTTTCAGGAGTTGTAAAAAGAGATTTTGACAAACCAGATCGAGATGCGTCTCTTTTGATTGCTTCATAGTCATGCCAGTCTTTTCGCCGCACACCGTTGCGTCCCAGCTGAGCGCCCTTCCCCGCACGATTCACTCCCTGATGGAAAAAACAGAATTGGACAGAGGGATGGTTATGAGCACCGTCATACACACAGACACATCTGCATTTGCTCTGCTCTGATGGCTGGATTAACCAGTGAACAGTATATTGGCTGCCATGTGGACATACAGCACACATTTCCACAGATGTTCATATTTTGTACTCCAGTGTGTCTTACAACTGTACGGCAAAAGGATATTTTAAGTAGGGAAGAGCTTCCAGAACTTCCTGATTTATAACAATCATTCACAACATGTTCAACCAATTTCAGCTTGAAGCTATTAAGCAAGCAATGTAAGAGAACTTCTAGCTTCAGTCACAACCAGCTGCTTCTTATGCACGCTTGCAAGTTGGTATCTTGGTTTAACTTTGCTCCTCAAGTTCCTCCTATTTTAGTAATTCTTTGGAAATAAGTGCCACATCGTAGACTGTGTATCAATGAAGTAAATGCTTAGGTGAAACGCATTAACTGACCCAGTAAGTAGTAGGACATGCCGAAAACACTTCACTTCTTTTGGGCTGCCAGCAACCATTTGATGTGGTTTGCGTGTCTGGCCTGGGTGCCACCTGGATACCTCCTTGGTGGTTCTTTTCTGGGCCAAGCTTGTAATGCTGTGTAAATAACTAAATCACTCAGACAAAACCTCCACATCAGGATTGGTACAAGAAGGTGAATATGAAAAAAAAGTGGAAGCAAAAAACAAAAACAGAAACAAAAGAAATACAGAGTGATCCCATCTTTTCAAACTATTGCAGCACCTCCACCTGTAGAATCGCTGAGCTTCTGGACTGATATATATAAAAGAGACATGACTGTCGACTCATCTCTTCATTTCAGTAAAAGTCAGTTGAAACGTGCACGATCAGCAAAAATGGCGGCTTGCGACAGGGGATGTGATGTAAATTTGGCGTCAGCTTTCTCGTAAGGTGCCGTTTGCCCGGCACTAGGCGGCAGGCATGGGGAGGCCCTTAGATAAATGTGGTAACAAGGATGAGCAGAGTTGTGACTGACTAACAGAAGAATAGCACGTCTCTAAAACATCTGCTAATCCAGTGATTGGGGATCAATTTGGATGTGCACCAAAAATAACGTTTGCCAGCGGTTAGTAATGTGGAAGTGCAGTGAAAATTGGAGATTGATTGAAGAGTAAAAACGGCAAAGTCACATAATCATTGATTGTCCAGTTGACTGAAGCTGAATCTCAAGTGCTAGACATTTCTGTTCCAAACCAGCGCACAACCTCCCACGCCAAACCTGCAAAGGCTCAGCCACCTCGCACACAGAAATGGTCAGGAGGATGGTAAAAGACACCTTTTTTGTTGTTAATGAAATAAAATGTGAAAAACCAACATAAGTCGTTTACACAACAGAGCAGCACACTCAGTCTTTTTTACCTCACCCCGTCAGTATCTGTGTCAGCTAAGAGATTTCTCCAGAGCATCAGCTCTCACTATCTAACAATGCTCTGCTGAGAGTTCATCCACAGAAAATGTACTCTTCTATTTCATGCTTGACAACCCTGTGAGGAGAATATCAATGCCCTGACACACACACACACACACACACACAAAGGTGGAGGCTGTTTCTTCTTGCACTTAGTCATTCTACACGCTGAGTGACTTTCAGTGACTCTGCATTGTGAATTACAGGATCACAGCACAATGGAGAAATAATTAGCTCGATGGGAGGAGGCAATTAGTGAAACACTTTAAATACAAATGGCACCACTGACTGCATGAAATACTATGAATTATTAAACAGACTGCTGGCTTAGAGGAATACGACCCTGAATAACAAACTAATGGACAGTATATAACCACAAAGATTTCGTTTTAGGTTAATCTTTTTGATTAAGCCTTCAGACTCAGGCACAGACTCCCCCCCCACCCCCACCCCTTTGACCCAGAGATCATTTTGACAATTTAAGGGTTATGTTGGGTTTAGATTTTTGTCAAGTTAATATATGCATTACTCAGTATGACCTTGTATGGGAAATTTTCTGCTCCATCTGGGGGCAAAACATTCCCACAAGCTTAACAACGCGTTTCTGGTGTAACAAATATGACGGTTGAAGATGACCAAATCTGACAAAAGAGGAATTTATAGTTACACATCCAGGGGCCATGCTCTAGCTTGGGGCCATGAGTACTACAAAACAAGCAAACCATAGAAACTGGCTGGTAAACTTTGGGGTGGAAAACCTTGAACAGCATATTTATTGTCTTTTTGACCACTCAAATACCAGTTTTCCACCAACACCCTCCTCAAACTAAAAGAGATTCTATGCCAGTCTATCAGACAACAGTTACTGCCAAAATGCTGCCATTGGCGTGGTATCACAAAACTGGCACTAATGTCAGAGGCAATATTTGTATGCAACACTGCGATAAACTGATCCTCATCGACTGTGACATACAGACTGAAGAAAGTGGATATCAAACCACCAGCTAACCCTGTAATGCTTATGTTTTATCAGTTAATTAGTTAACCAAGTAAATAACCTGCCATGCTTCTCACACACCACACGAAGCTCAAAAACCAGCAATCCCCGAGTTGGGAGGCCTTATACTTAGGCAACTGAGGCTGCCTGAAATACAGGAACTACTACTATATCCTCTTTTGATACGTAGCATGGCTGCATAGTTTAATGGTTCACACATTTGGCTAACAAGCAGAAAATCTGCGGTTCAGTCCCAGGATGAGAGAGAGAGAAATCCCTTTGGGGTTGCAGAAGGAAAGGTTTGATTTGATTTGGTAAATCAGACATGCGGAGTTGCCCGCTGTAACAACCCCTTGAGAATAACGGGGCAGCCAGTAATAGCTTCTGTTGATAAATGGCACCGCAAACATTCTCAGTGCCTGAATTAGACTTCCAATTTTAGTATGGTAAACTTGAATTGTACTTGAATACTCTGTAACTTTAATAGCTGTAATAACTGTACTGGACAGCTTTCGTACATTGATTAGAGCAGATTAAATTGTGTGAAGAAAACTGCATCAACTCACGATTCAATCTAAATTCTGACTTTTCCAATGAAGACTTGTGTGCTCCAAGACATCATCCCTTCATGAAGTACTCAACCTCTTAGGTCAACCGAAGAAAACCTTCAGCCCATTTGTAAGATGACTGACTAGACGGTGTGGATAAATGAAATAAGTTTTGTTTGTTTTTAAACTGATTCCGCTCCATTTACTCGTCCTTCCTTTCTTTCATGGTCTCCCTTTTCCGACCCCATGATCTCACTACTTCATTCCCTTTCTGTTGCAGACACCTTCAGTGTGTCGCATATGGATCTGACAAGCAGCAAGAGTCCATCTGTGCAAATTCATACTATAAAGGAACAGTACTGTGCCGCCCCATTTCCTCCTGATTAAAATTTCAGCGCACATCGCCACAATATTCCTCTGGGGTTTTTCCTGCTGCTCAACAAGACCTTGAAAAACAAGACAAGGAGAGGGGGGAAAGTTTTCAGCTAATGTGTGCACATGTTTAGTTTTGTGGACGCAGGACGTGGGCGGGTGGTTAAAGGAAAGAAAGTAATTGAAATAGACGGGAAAAGGATGGGCATGAAAACAACTGTCCACACGTGGGTAATGAAAGAGGAAACGAAAAAGTAAAAGTCTGCAAAGTTTTAAGGTTTTGTGCTGTGGGTGGCAGGTTAAAACAACACAGTGACTAAAAGAGCTTCACACTAAAAGCAGCCTGCAAGTTTGTCACTGAAAAGCTAGAAATGTGAAGAACAACAGCAGTTAAAAGTGAACATCTCTACTAACTAATAAAGCTGATATCTAGATGCAAAAACCTTCACATCAGAGTCGCACTAAACTGTTAGGTTTGGTTAGAGTCAGGTAGAGGATATAAAAGAGTTCTCTCTACACAACAAGCAAACAGGATTAATTCAGCTCAAGGTGGCCATGGTTAACAGTGATGCCCACATGGTCTGGATGAGTAAAAGAAGGTAAGGAGGGCCACCAGAAAACCCCATAAACTGAGTGTATTCATTTAAAATCTACTTGTTTTTTCTTAGTTAACTGGATTGTGGCACAGCTAGGCATGGAGTATTACAGTTAAGTCATTCTTGTTGCTAAGGTTCATGGAGATGTCATTACTTCGGGAAAATAAAACAACTTGACCTGAATACTTCACTGCGTGTCATACCAACCAACTGGTTACTGCTGCTCCTTGCAAGGTTATATGCTGTGCTCATTATTCAGACTGGACTTAGAGGAAGAGAAACATTCTGAAACATACAAACTATCTGCAATTCTTACAAAAATTATTTCCCCCCCTCTTCAAAAACACCAGTTATGTTTAAGGTTACAGTGACTGTTATAAGGATTTAGCCCTCACAGGATTAAGCAGGATTTCATTACATTTCACACATTTTCCTAAAGCTCTACAAGTAACCCCAGAGCTGATTTACAGTAGCAGACAAATTTCAATGAAGCCAAACTCAAATTCAATGGCACATGAAAGAATGCAGCATTGTCCAATCACACAAGCTTGTGGTAAATTACTTTTTGTAATGAGGGTGCCAAATTTGTGTAGTTTAATTTACAACTTTGCAATGGCAGGGATCGTGACCCAGGGTGTTGCATCTATGTCATTTATTTAGGTTGAACCTGAAACACTGCTCAAGGCTCAGCTACGAAAGACACAGGTTAGAGCTCCACGAAGGGTCTAGAGCAGGGGTGTCAAACTCATTTTAACTCATAGGCCACATAATAAGGGGTGGCTCAGGAGGTAGAGCAGGTGCATCCATCGGAGTATGAGTGTGTGTGAATGTACTTAGAAAGCACTGAGCGCTATATAAGAATCAGTCCATACTGACCACTTCGATCTTAAGTGGGCCAGACCAGTGAAACTCCCCTGTCTCTCAGTGTAAAGAAGTTACATTTAACTGCATTTTCTACGCGATAAAGAAAAAGCTGACAACTCTGAACTCAAATTGTAAGAAACTTCTGGTAGCTCGTTGCCCAGCCTGGTCAGGTTTTT